ACAAATTGAGTTAGCAAAATCTTAACCCCTGAGCATTGCTTGAAAATTTTGCTAGAGACAATTCCTTTCCATTGTCATACATCTACTGAAGTTAATTTTCCAAATTGTCAGTTGCACCCATATTATTCCCTCTGTTTATGAGATTTTTGGCGATTTTAGTAGTAGAAATTACATTGTATGTGCATTCTGGTACGAAGCTAACCCGACTGACCCTCAATAAATATCAATCCTATACTCCTGATATAATTCAATAACTTCTTAATTTACAATTATTCATTGCCGTTGGATAACAACAAGTGACAACACATCTTGCATTTCGGAGATGAACATTTTCTTGCTAATGTATGCATCCCAGTCTACATATTTCTCCCTGCAGTGATATTCAATAAACATGTATATTAAATGAAAATTATCACCTTCATCTTTTTGTTTCCAAGAACAAATTATGGGAGACAAATCAGAGAAAGGTTAATAAATCAGTATATTGTAGAAGGATATTCAAAAGATCATCAAGAATTATCCATATTGTTGAACATACTATCAAGTACTACGTGTAGATTAATGCGATTTCACGCGCAATATACCGAACGATACAACATTTTTTCTTTGTCTGCCTTCAGGCAACCATGACCCAGATAGCTAATCATACTGCCTCACAAATTTTCTCTGTGCTTTGGAATTAATTTCGTGGATGAACGCAGTCACTGATCATTATACTGAATAGAGAAACCTTGAACAATGGTTGTATAAAAAAGAAGAGTTTTTTTTGTTGTTGATTTTTGTTAACGCATTTTGCCAGAGGTTATACCACAATGCGAACGCACTTCTTCAATTTATTAATCGTTAACATAAAAAACATTTCTCGATTGTTCAGTTAATCAATCACAACTGGCGAATGTCATGATCTTCTGCTTCAAAAGAAAAACACTAAAGAGAATTTTGAAAATGGAAGTCGCTAAACTTGGCAATGAAATTCATTGAATCATCTAAAATGAGCATCGATCTACAACACAAAAGTGCAAATTGCAATAGATATAAACCCTCTAAAGAAGAAACAAGTTTCTAAGCATTGATATTAATAGCAAGATAATTAATCATCACATTCAACAATTCAAATTTGTCAGACTTGGATAAGAAAATAGTCTTCAAACAACTATTACTAGATATGCCAACAACATACTTTACTTTGTATCTGTATTCCTATATGCAAATTTTTAAGCGAGAGAAAAGGGTGTATGGATGCTAAGAATGGGGGTTTAGCTAATGATCTAGGGTGGGATTTATTTGGGAAGCTTCATGCCAAAATATGTTACACTATATTAAAGTATGGTAAATGCTATTAAACCAATTTCAGATATTACACAAATCTCACAAAAATGTAAATACCGCCCTCTTGTGATATTAAATGTAAATACTCTCCTCTCCTGATATCGGTGAGGAATTACTTAATAGGACAGAACATATTAATATTGCTTTTTTTTCAACATTTCTCTCCATCCACTGTCACGCTCGCTCCTTCATTCGACTCATATAATTTCTGCATTTGTTTCTTCATCATCTTTCTCTCTCTCTCTCTCTGACGCTAAAACGGTGGCAAATTGTACAAGCTTTGTCAGTCATGAGTACAACATAGCTCTATTTACAGACCAAATATACAATAATTTACAAACGCCTCTTGGCTAAAGAAATTAAAATGCTGCGGCTAAGCCTCACACCCAGAACACAGATGACTAAACACTGCATTGTATTCTGGACAGCTATTAAAATTTTCACTAATAAAAAAGAATCTTAAATAGCAAATATATTTGACTAAAAAAATTAATTATTCTGTCTGTCAATCATATGCCTCTTCCAATTCTTTTTCAATTATTAAAAACAATTAAGCTTAAAATTTCACCAGAATTCAATGCAATTTCATACTTTTTAAAATGTATTTTGTTTTAAAACTCTAAAATTTTCTTTAAAAAATCACATATCGACATAAGGTTGCTATGCAACCATTCTGGGTGATGCATTGTGGGATAAAATTCATACACACTACAGGACAGCTAAATGTAAGCTTAAATAGACGGTTTTATTTACACATTACTTGATGTTGCCACGCCATTTGTCGACGAGTGTGGGACATTCTGCCGACTTTTGAACTTATGCGGAGTTGAGTCCTTGCTCGGCATCATCACGCAGGGTGGAATGTTTAGCTGTGGGATATATTCTGGGGACTCCTCTTTGTTGGGGTTTCTATTAACCTGATGAATGGGTGATATGTGTTGCCTAGGAGACTGTGTTTCTGGCAGGTTGCCACTCGATAAATTTCCATTCAGAGAATCTAAAAAAAAAATTATGAAGAAATAATTACTTATTTTTTGTCTGACTGGAAACAAATTCAGATTAATTTTTGCTTGGCAAAAAGGAATGTCAAATAATGCGCTGATTACTAAGCGCATCATTATAAATTACTCCCTAAAGGAGCTGAATTCCGTAGGTGTTTGATTTAATGATGTGCAGATAGACCTTGACATTTATTAGCTTAAAAAAAAAAACCAGCAAGGCATTAACAACATTTTCCGATTTAACAATTTATACTATGACTACCTACCGTTAGATGTGTTCTTATGTACGTCCGTTGAACATTTCCTAATGTTACTTGAATACTGATTATTAACCAAGTCTTTGCCCACATGTGTTGTATCACAAACTCCATCACCTGGTGGCTCCGACAGGTGGTACGGATAATCTGTTGAGTTTTTCACCACATGATTTAACTTCTCTTCCCTCGGGTATGGGTTTGTTACTACTACATTGTCTTCAGAATCAAACCCCTGTGAGTTGGCGCATGGACAACGGTCCTGTGGAGGAATCTCTTTATACATATCCTGATTCCTCAATGGATCCATCTCTGACTGATATCCCAAAGTAACGTGTGGTGATGCAGTACTCTGATTGGTCAGTGAGTGATTCAGAAGTGGGAAGCTACTACCATCATGCACTAGATGAAAAATAAACGCAAAAACAGCATGAATTTAAATACTGTACTATCCTTTCAATTGAAAAAAACATGTTTAAAAAACACATTCTTTTTTTTTTGCAAAAAATATATCTTTTCCAAAATGAGGACCCCGAAATACTTTACTTCTAAATGTAAAAGTTTTGCTTGGGTAATGCAACTATTGGTGTGGACTTATTTTAATGGCTAATAATTTTGAAATCGTTCACGGGACCCTAAAGGAATGTAACAGATAGTCAATGACTGGCAGATCGATCTCCACTCATTTCTTAGTGCAATCATTTTAAAAAAATCATGTATAAAAACAGCAAATTAAAAAAATGTATGTAATTTTGTTAATGGTTTTTATACAAAAAACAAATTGATGTATAATAATATTCGGTATGTACAGGTTCTAACAACATTACTACTTATGTTATTTCAACGATGATGATGGTTAGAAAATAAGAAAAGCAAGTATATTACAACAGGTGACAATGAATTGGTGTACGGAGAAAAGATAAAAAAAAAAAACTACTATAAAAATGATTTAAGACCTGTTAATGTGACAGTTAATTTTACAGGTGTGTTTCCAATACTAATAACATGTCATTTTAGATTGAAATTTGATCATTGCAACAAATATGTCATTTTCGTCAAATCTGCTGAACACATTTCATCTTCATACTCATTAAGTTTAATTTCCATGTTAGTTACAGCTCTCCTTTCTCTAGCAATATTTAACGAGAATTGTTATATTCATGTAATCCGATCCAATATTTAGTAACATGTTGGAGGGGTTTTTTTGTCAACTGTAAAACATATAATATTTATCATCATTGTAAATAATTGTTTTACAGCTCCATCTTTTGATGGCTGAATATGTACAAAGTTTGATGAAGTAATTTGTAAGCTATAATACAACTACTTCTAATTATAAAAACCAGGAACAAAATTATTTTATGATATATTTAGATATAACTTGGAAAAAACTTTGAAATCTATAAACCCCCCCCCACCCAAAAAACCAACAAAACATAACTGTGAATTACTCAATTAGTAAAACCAAGAACTTATCAATTTTCAATTATTATTTACCATCAAAATAAGTTAATTTGCTGGCAGAATATGTGTAGCTATATGCCAGGACTAAAGCATTGGTATTTTTTAAATGTGTGTATATTGGTAGTAATTTTTCTCTTTTTAATTTTCGATTGTAAGCTAATACAGTAACCTATTGAAAAATGCAAATTACTGTATTATCAAATGGAAAGCATAGCTTTGATTTTTTTTTAGCTTTTCTTCATCCTTAACTTGATTATATTTTTTTTCATTCTTTTTTTCTGTAATTCCTTCTTTCTTTATTAACTCCCATGTTAGTAATGGTTCCTGGTTGCGTTGTTTCTTGGTTGATTTCTATTCATAACATATGTGTTGCTTGAATTAATCGCATTCATGGTTTCCTTCCTTACACTAATGAATAAAACATATGACCTTACAAGAATCTAATTTACTTGGTTTTTTTCCCCTCTCCCCAGATGTTGCAGTTTATATGTTTAGTAGGTTTTTGTTCTATAGATTCATTAATATAAGTTTCATTTCATAAAAGGCTTAGTCTTAAGACAAGACCTCAGGCCACTGCAGCTAGATTTTATTCTATTTATAGCATTTAATTCCACAGAAAGCTCAATCTGTTTTGAATTTAGTGACAAATGCTGAGAAAAACACTAAAGCTGATAAATACATTCATGTTTATGGCCAAGTATTCTCTGTCAGTGGAAATGATGACCATATTTGAGATCTTTAATAGAGAATGTGTGAGTAAAAAAAAAAAAAAAATAAATTTAATAATTACCATTGGACTCATCATAGTTACGGCTGAACGTTGTCATATGCATTGGTTCGTCTGAGCGACCATTACCCTGGTAAGCAGCAGATGGACGATAGTGCCGAGGTAGTCTATACGATGCATGTAGAGCACCATCTATTGACTCATCGTCGCTTAGATTATCCATCTGATACTTATCCGTAGCTGTAAAAAAATTTTGTTAAATCAGATTTTAAAGAACAGATAGAGTGACAGCGTGAAAACATTTTTGAGTACACCAAAACATTCAGTGTGTTTTTCACGGAAGTAGTGCTTGATCCAAATATAATTTGTACAATTAATAACAATTGTTCTCTCTTGTGACAGATAAAATTTATATCGATGATTTTTTTCTTTCAAAGATTATAATAGCAAACTTCAGTGAATGAGTCACAGAAATCTGATACTTCCCTGACTACGTGAGTGATTGTTGCGATCAGCAACAAATTTGTTTCCAGAACTCTAGTGGAGAAGATTCACACTTGTATTTCCCTAGGCATTATTCAGTATTAAATCTTGAGCACACAAATCATTTTAAAACATGCTTTAAGCGGTATGTTAAAAATTGCCAGAACATTCAACATTTTAATACATTGAATGAAAAAAGTCATTACTCAGTGCTCACAAAAAATGTCCTGGATGTTTTTCTTCTACTCTTATTTGAAAAGAAATTTTATTTATATGATTTTATAACAAATCTGGAGTCAACCATTCAAGACCATTCCAATATCTTTAAACATGAATTATCCTAGACCTCAGAAATATTGATGTTTTATATTTCCATTGTTTGGAAAGTTGATAGGCATTCAGTTTTATTTGTTCAATAAAACTCAGGGAGATTTTAGGCTTTTTATTACATTTTGAGTGTTAATTTCCGTCCACACTGTCAAATTTAATGTGACAAATGGTTTGTCCATATCTGGGTGTAATATGACATCATCGTTGCCCATATATGGGTATGGGCACATCACACAAATTTGTCACATACAATTTGGTAATATGGACAGAGCTTAATACATATATTCTTTGATGACAAAATGTAAACAAAAAAAATTAAATTGTTTAAAATTTGATGTGACAAATAAGTGCAGAATGCCCATATCTGGGTGTAATATGACATCATCGTTGCCCATATATGAGCACATCACAAATTCACATACAATTTGGTAGTGTAAACAGAGATTAAAGTTTTGTTCACACTATCAAGTTTTATGTGACAAATGGTTTGTCCATATCTGGGTGTAATATGACATCATCATTACCCATATATGGGCACATCACACAAATTTGTCACATATAATTTGGCAGTGTGGACAGAGATTAAAGTTCTGTTCACACTATCAAGTTTTATGTGACAAATGGTTTGTCCATATCTGGGTGTAATATGACATTATCGTTGCCCATATATGGGCACATCACACAAATTTGTCACATACAATTTGGTAGTGTGGACAGAGATTAAAGTTCTGTTCACACTATCAAGTTTTATGTGTTTAATTGTTTAAAATTTAAAAGCAGAGGCAACTTGTTCCAAGATACGATGTAATCTTGAAATAACGGAGGTAACAATTCCATAACGTCTTCTTGAGATTGACAGTGCTAAAGATAAGTAGATCGACAGGTAGAGAGACAGCCAGCCGACAGGTAGGCAGATAGTTACAGAGACAGACAGGCTGGCATAGGTACTTAAGATCGAAAGATGAATGGCAGGGTAGACATATGGATAAACAGACAGACTAAAATATAGATGGACAGTCAGACGGGCAACAGGACACAAAAAATTGAATATATAATATTTACCAACTGTATGTACGTACATATCTACACATATATACTTTATCAAAAACACATTTCTTATGGTGTATTTAGTGCAGAAAATGATAGAAACATCAACTTTTTCCCTTAAATACTATGATCTATTTCATAGACATGTGAAATACTTCAGGGTAGAATAACACACTGATTGTGAAGTTTAGTGAAATTGATAACAACCAAAAAGTAAAACTCTAAAATAAAACTTACCAGAACTTGAGACTCCGCTGCTGGTTTCCTGTTGAATCGTTCCTTCCGAACCATTATATGTCATACTGGGTATCTCCTCCGTCAACACCGGATCTTCCACTGGCGTTGTACTGTATCGCTGACTGCGTTTTCGACTGTGGTAGATGATAACAACCCAAATGACAGAAGTGCCGACAACTCCACAGACTACTGCGATGATGATGATGCCTGTAAACGCTCCTTTGCAGATACTGTTTTGCGATTGGCCAGTTGATGGGGATGTACAAGAATCTGTAACAAATATATACAAAATGTTGTTGTTAATTCTCATCCTTTATAATGTGGTTATGCAGTTTGAATATCAATATCAGTCAAGTAATTTAAAATACAGAACAACATCTATACTTAACATAAATTTATATTCCACAATATTCGGCCAATATTTTATCAGAAAAAGCAATATTAACAGGTACCGGTACGTTTCAAAGACATAATCTATCAAACGTTACATAATAGAAACAAACGCAGCAATTTGAAAGATTGGGTTTTAGATACGATTCAACTGTGAAATAAGACACTCACCAGCAGTTACTGTTAGGGTGACTGATCCTGTTACTTCACCAAGCATGTTCGATAACAAGCAGTAATAATCGCCAGCATCTTCTGGTTTTACATCTGTCACAAGCAGCAACTGGTTACCGCTAACGAGATGGAATCGATCAGATGTTACTACTTCTTTGCCGTCTTTCTCCCACTCAATGTCTGGTGTGGGGCTGCCTGCGGGTTTGCATTGAAGCACGGCTGTATCGCCCTCACGCGCTGTAACATCCTTTGGAGCTTCCTCGAACGATGGCAGTTGGAGGACACGTATGGTGGCATTCGTGATGATGGTTCCAGCGTCATTGGTAGCGATGCAACTATACACTCCCATATCTTCGGTCTTGCTGTTGGCAATAAAGAAAACTTCATCCTGTGGATAGACATGCATACGGCGATCTCTTGCTGCCGGGAAGTCAATTCCACCATCCTTCTGCCAGGCGATGTCTGGAGTCGGGTGACCGGTAGCGGCACATTCAAGAGGTATCACTTCCCCAACTCGAACAGTCTTGTCATCTGGGCGTCTAGTGAATGATGGGAAAACTGCAAAAAAAAATGAATTTTTGTTTGATTAAAAACAACTATTTACAAACAAAATACATTTTTAAGGAATGTACAGAAGTGTAGCTTTAAAATCATACAATGATAGAGAATTACATGCATGTTAAAATCAATAACATAACAGAAAATTTTTTTGAACAGCAGGAAATATATAAACGTAATACAAATAAAGACATTTATACAAAGCTTTCTAATATATATAAAATCTAGAACGTTAACCTTTTGCAGGTGTATGCCTGCACAAATTGTATATTTATCATTCTGTGACATCAGTAAGCAACTCAAAGAGTTACTGAGATCAGAGTTCAAAATAAACTTAACACCGGCTCGTTAGTCAAGTGAACGGTAGCCTTTTTGATAGGAAATCATTCATATCGAAAAGAAAAGACAAAGAAAAAAGCTCAAAAATACAAGATTTATCTATCTTAAGCATTTATAAGAAAATTGTTCTCACCATTGACTGTTAATTTTGCCTTATTTGAGTATGAGGGGCCAAAGTGGTTAGACATGATGCACTGATATCGACCCTCATCCTCATCATGTAGGTCATCCAGTTTCAGAATGCTTGTCACCTCAGTAACGCCCCCTTGCATCTCCTGGGTTACTTCCATAAGGTTTTTGGGCAATTCCTATATTAGGAAAAATAATAATAAAAATAGTAATTTTAGTTGTATTTTCATTTTTTGTTTGCGTTTACCATAAAAAAGTGAATTTTTTTTTTAATATTGAAAAAAAAAATTATTAGCACACCTTATTGTCTTTTTTCCAGGTGACTTCTATTGTGGTTCCCCCATTACTTGCTGCTTGGCAAAGGAACTCCACTGTACCGCCTCGCAAAGCCTTCTGTGCCTCAGGGTGCATTATGATGTGTGGTTTGGGATAATCAGCTGTGGACAATAAGAATTTTAAAAATAATTTATATCAATTTATAAAACTATTAACACATACATAAAATATATAATTATGTTGATATGAATATATCTTTGTATTAACAAATACAATGATTGTATTCATGCTTATATGTTGTTATAATAAACAATGACAGTATACAGTATTTATATACATTTTGATACACTCAGGAATGGAGTTATGGTGGGTGGAACCATGCAGTCTTGAATTTTTGCACCCAGTTTATGGTCCTTCACCCAACTTGATTAACACCCTTGTCCATCCTTAAAATCCAATGTTACCAATGTTAACAAATGTTTACCAATGTTATCACCCATCAACCCTTAAAAACGCCTACCACCCACCCTTAGTTTTCTACAGCTGCAACTCTGTATAAATGACAGGAAAATGTAATAAAACATCTAATCAAACAAATTCTGTATCTTTCTGTTGGATGTTATACAATGCTTTAATTCACTTGACAAAGTTTAATTAAACACAGTAGAGTCTAACAAACATTTAATAAAGAATGCCCTGGCATAACAGTTAAAATTTAAGGTGCACACGAGTTAATGACAAATTGTAAAAGTGCTGTTATATTATTGCAGTGATATACTTACCACATGTGAAGAGAGAGATGTTAGCTCCAAGCACATTCTGTCCCTGAACGTTCTCGGGGTGAGCACACTTTGCGATAACATCCTCAGCGAAGGGCTGGTCCACCAGCCAGAATGGAAACCAAGTTAACTGACAGTCACAAACCAAATTTGATGTGTTTAACATTCTGAAATAAAAAACAATAAATAATAATAATTCACACATAAATCACTGTCCAGATTATCAAATTTTACTTGACGAATACATACAACATGCCTAAATCACATTGTGACCATGTATAGGCATATCATGACTATATATGGGCATCATTTAGTAATTTTTGATCATATTTCATTTGATAGTATATGCTTGTATCACATATTTCTAAAAAAACAAATTCTAAATTAAATTAAATGTGATAAAACTTATCATGAATCTAGATTGCAAACTTCAGGAAAGTTTTTAACATTTAAACCACCAACAAGTGTTTTATGAGTATTTGCACTTGTCGTGTGAAACCTGTATTATAAAACAGAGCCTATCATCCATTCTGTTTGATTACCACCCATCAAACTGAGTAGTGATGTGAAAATTAAGAAAGCATTTAACGAGCATTTCAAACATGATAGCCTTAGGCTAGGAATTGCTCACAAGTTGATGTGTGATGAGTGAGTTGATTTAAAGTATTGCTCTCCTAACTCAGGAAACTTGTTCTACACAAGATTATAATAATGACCAATGTACTGCTTTTATGTTAGTGATGAATGATGATTATGTTCATATGTTCATGATATAATGAAGACAATGATGATGATAATAATAATGGTGATTGATTAATGATGACATTAGTGATAATGGATAATGATAACAATGATGTCCTTAATATGTTGTTGATTTTTTCAATATTGATATTTGATATGATAATGATGATGATGACGATAATGAAATGATGATAATGATGAAATGATATTGATTGATATGCTGATTATGATGATTAACAGTTTAATATACATCTGTTAGTTTTTTTCCGATTTCTTAATCATTACATTTAAAATATTAAAAATATTGATAATACTGAAAATATATGGCATAAACCTTAAATTATAATCTGATGATATTTTTGAGAGGTGCACTATGGCCATGCATGCTGTATTCAATAATTTTTACACCCATTTTTCATATGCACAGCAACTAGCATTTTTTTTGTTAGTGATGATACTATATATGAGACATAAAAAATAATGATATTGTAACAAAAAGAATAAAAGTAATATTTACTACTATAGTAATAGTAAACATTATAAAATAAACAATTATTTAAGCTTGACTATCAAATATAAATAAACTATCAAATAAAATTGGACATTAAAAACAATTCATAATCTTGGAACATATTCAGGTACAAAGAAAAACCTTCATGTATATAAAAAAAAACATGCTTGTTGAAAGCCAGTTAATCCAGATCACACCAATGATGATAATTGATTACGATTAATTGCTTAGAATCATGTCAAGAGGTGACTACTTCCAAGGTTAAGAATATGCATGGAGTATTTTTGGAAGTATAGTCAGCTCCATAGAAAAACATAAGGATTAGATATTTTCTATCTGTTGACAACCTTCGGACCAATCGTAACAGGAACTAAGGCGGATAGACACACAGACTAGCGGCCGACTATCAAACTGGGTCGTCATCTTACACTAAAGATGATTTCAAATCTATGGGTATGTGACTCGTTTAGATTACAGACCTTCCACAGGGAATGAGTCATGTTTGTCAAAGAATTTGTAGTGATATGACGGTCATGTTGAATTACATTTAACGGACTTGTTGATAGGGATTGTTCAAGCAGAACCAGTCCAATAAAGATTAATGTTTCTTTTCCCCTGAAAATCGAATGATAAGCAATTTGTTCATCTTTTATTAAATTGAATAATAATTAAAATATGGATTTAATTATGAACAGAAATAACTTGCAACTTAATAATGCTTTGAGATATATAAGCTCCACATTATTGACATTATGTTCTGAAGTTGACAACAGCTATACTAAATATAATAATCATAGTAATATTAACAAACAAGCTAATTAGAATTTAAAACAAATTATATATTTTAACAATCATAATATTATTTTCTTAAAATTAAGAAACTACTGTAGTATAAACAGAAGTGAGACATTTACTTGAATGTTAATTTTAATACAAAGACTTGGAATAAAAGATTAAACTAAAATCTTTGAAGATTAATTCTATCAAATAACAGAATCCTGACAAACATTTTTAGAAAAAAAAAAGATTCATATTCACTATTCAAATTAGAGTAGCAACTGTTTATTCAAACCCTTCAAACTGCATCTCTCTCAATGAATAATGTTCATAAAATTTGATATTTCTTTCTCATTATTGTGTAAGATTATCCTAAGTAGGGGAAAGGTATAGAGAAGCTTACCTATTACAGACAGCAGGAAACGCGTTTTTTTTTTTTTTTTTAACAAATGAGCAATACACATGTTATAAGAGAAACCTTGCCGGTTTTATCTTGTCACAGAGAACCATCAGCCGCAAGTTCTCAAGTGCTATGACAAAGTTGAATTCTATAACTATCCATTCAACTTATTACAGCTTCTTGTCTTCAGGCAATTAATGTAAATACACGACCTTGACAATTATCATTAAGGATTTGCTGCTGTCTGGGGACTACAGCGAAATATTTCTGACTCAAACGAAGCAAGTTTTTTGCCCTCCCAACAACTGCAGACAACCTAATGAAAGTGCTTTCTTTTCTCTTGTGAGACAGTACACATGCCATAAGATGCACATGAATATTTTACTTTAAAAAGGCGATCAGATTTAAGGTATTAAATTACACAAATAAATTTTGTTGTCCTTTTCTTTATCTTTCTCTAATGAGTGATTCAGAGTTACTTTCAATGTATCAGTCATACAGTACCATATAGTTAAATAGGAGTTTTTTAACTGTAAGCTGCATTGCATGTCTCTTTATATTTAAAATTACTTTTGAAACATTATTTTCTGCTGGTAAATTTATATCAATCAGACAAAAAATAGGTTGATACCACTCTGTAAAATAGGGGTATACAAATCTGAATTTGTGGTATTACATAAGTTGCATTTACATCTCTTTTCATATGTAAATACATTATTTCTGAAGCTCAACTGGTTGAACCTATGGCATTTAATTACAATGTACTTCTAGCTAAAAAAAATTTACATAATATACTAGATAAACAATTACACAAAACCAACTTATAATATTGGTTATTATATTTTAGAAAATGACAGATATGGTTTGTCAGAAATGTAACGTAATTCTAAATTATTATGAAGGATCTAAACATAAAAATGCATAGACAAGCACCTGCACAGGTAACTGAATAATATTATTGGAGACATTATTATCTGTTCAGCTAAACTAATCATTTGAAACCAAATGCTTTTATATCTATTTTGGTTATGATTTTTTTTCATGATTGAACCCAGGAAATTAGGACTGGAAGTTAGGCACCTTCACCACCAAACCATAGATTTTCTTCTGTATTGCTACTTTAAAGCAAATTATTCATGATACTGTGTCCTGTTGATCACTGGTTTGACAGAAAATAAAGAATTGGAATCCAAATCAACTACCAAACTAATAAACGCATTACTGTAAATCTAAATCTTTCTATAATTGTTCCTTCCCTTACATACTAAACCAAACAACCACAGTTAAGAGAGTCTAGGCCTTCAGCTATTCCATGCCACCCATACTAAGCTGAACATCCTCGGGTAAGTCAATCTAGTAATTTAGATGCTCGAGCGCTCACATATTACACCACCAACCTCAGTTAAGCCGGTCTAGGCTTTATGGTAAGAAGTTATCAATGCATACAGCAAGTTCAACTATGTAGGTTAGGCTTTCAAAGCACTTAGCCTCCAGCATAAGAAACTAAGGATTTAGTAAATGTGTATAGGTCATGAACTAATTACGCATGCAGGTGTATACGTAATGTTACCAGAACTTCTACAAACAAAAAACGCATTTTTTCCTTATATATCAGCCTACTCTTTCATTACACTTCAAATACAATCAAGTGATTTTCTGCTGGTAATCATAGTAACAAAAATACAAGAACATAGGTATTTGTCTTTGTTAGCAAAACGATTTTCATAAGAACAGCAACAAAATTGAATGTATGTCAGACAAACCTGATAGTAAGTGCTTTAAAAGTCTGATCTGATTAATCTAAAATTGATTATTGCTACATTTTATTAATTACTCTTTATTGGTCGATTTGGTGGAATCGCAATCGCATCCACCTCCCCCTCCCCCGTCCATGACAAGGTCACGAAAGTGTCCTTACAGGGGCCCCACACCCTAGGTTACAGGTTAGTATTAGCATGTTGTAGTCTGCACGTTTTCATGGCAAATGGAAGCAACAAACTCAAACCTTAATGGAATCATATCAAAGTTTGCATTTATGAAAAAAGCGAGATGTGCTCATCATACTTACAATTGTTTCAACTGCGGCAGACTAGAAAAGGAGTTAGCTTGGATTGCTGTTATTGTATTGCCTGTCAAATCCCTGAGGGAGAAAATTAAAGAATATTGAAGTCATAGTAACATACGACACAATCCTCTACATGAATTTCTCCATCCATTTAATTTTGAAAGTTAATTCAAGAAAGAAATAAATACATTACTGAGAAGATTGTGAAAGATGGAAGATTCTAATTTAAAGATTCAAAAGGTGATAAAATATGGAAAAACTCTCAAAAATTCTATTATAACATTGAATTGCTTATCTAAAAGGATCAAGTCAATAGTTATACGACACAAATTGATACGATTCTTTTTTCGTTCAGATATTGTTTAATTGCGTTATGTCGACGCTCTTGTGAAGAATGTCGATAAACTAATTCTATAAATAAACAAGTACTTAAAGAATGGTCACTAAAGTGTTAAGCTTGCCACTTGCTGCAGGTGATGTTCGTTGACCGACGCGATTCTCTAAAGAACGCAACACGACGCGCATGCAAAAAAAATTTTCACAGGAGCAGAGCTGGATTTGTCGTACAAGGGTAGTATGACCGCTGTACGATGCAGAGCGTACCCAGCTTTAGAAGACTTAAACAACATGGTATAAAAAAAACAGAATGTTAGCAAATATATAGTAAGCTGAATTAATGTTTAACTGTTTTGGTACAATGTTGATAAACTTATTGTCAACCAATCAATCAATCAATCGATCTTTATTTTCCATCATTAGTAAAAAATACAAAACAAATTAAGATGGAGGAGGTACAACCAAGGTAAGGCCTGAAAATGTGTTGTACTACAAAAAAAGGCAATCATGTACAATATAGAAAAATTGAAGACATTAAATTTAAATATATGTACTTAATTCACATTAAAAACAGACAGAACCATTGACCCACCCTCTATAAATACATATAGCCAAAATGAACAAGTAATAATTTATTTAGTACAGAGTACAAAGTATTGCCATAAAGTTAACTTGCATCAAGAGATTTAATGTGCTTAGAAGTCTGTTTTAAAATGATTAACACTATGAGCGCTTTTAACGTTTCAGTTTTTAACTTTTTTGTAACGATAAATTCTGTTAAACAAAAACAAAATTGTACTCAGATTATTTAACATTTCCAAATGTATCTACAAAATCTAACTATGAACAACATGCATGGAAATGGCTACTGTTAGAATATCATTAAAATTATACTTTATAGGTATCAAATATCGATGCGTGTTACACTTACAGCTTCTGAAGTTGAATTAGGTCAGAAAATGATTTCCTAGTAACGGATGTAATCTGGTTGCCCGCTAGCCCGAGGCTCAGTAATGATGCGAGTCCTTTGAATGCCCCGGATGCATCCTCAATAGTCCAAGATATATCGTTATAATCCAAAAATCTATGTTAAAGAAAAAAAACATGTAAACATGTAATATGAAAAATTATTTTATAACTAAGTAGGGTGGGGGAAGGACAAGGAAAAGGGGAGAAACTTTATTGAGATATACAATGATGAAATATTGCTGCTAATTCTGTCTCATCTGTTAAAATTATTTCTTAGTGGCAGTATAATTAGTACTAAAATTTCCACATCAATCCTACTAAACTCACAATTTATAAGCTTGATTTAAAGGAGAATTATATCATTTTTATGACAACCATACCTGTATTATACCACTTTTGTCAAGGGATTAAAATAATCCTACTATAAATAAGTAGTTTTAATAATGAAATTACTTTTCCTTCAGCATTTAGAAAGAGAACAGAAAGTATAATTTTTCGCAATTTATAAAAGTAATGAAATATTTCATTTGAATTTGTTCTTTTTCTCTGTTATAATATTTTGTAATAATGTACAAACAAAACATTAGGCAAATGATACAACTATTTAAATATAGCTTATCATCTATTTTAACCATGATATTGATTTCTTTAATATGAGAATTGTAAATTATAATTTTACAATTAGCATTTGTGATCAAAGAATTATTATAAAGTCAGTTTGAAATTTTATGGCTGCAGTTAGTAAAAATTTTAAATATAATTTCTTAATTCATTAATTTGTTCATTTCTATTTATTTTTCTTTAATTCAATTACAAAAATACTTACAATTCTTTTAATGATGTTAAGCCACGAAAAGCACCATCCTCAAAACTTGAGATTGAGTTATGACCAAGATTCAAACTCTGCAGTGCCGCCAGCTTTTCAAAGCTAGCCTCCACCAAGTTCACCAGCTGGTTGTAGCTAAGATCTAGGAATTGTACTTTGGGACAGAACGATAGCGGAGCGGTGAAGTTGATACTGTTGTAACTGACATTCAAACGTTTCAACCCGTCTAGTCCGTACAACCATCCTTTGTTGACGGACGTTAGCTTGTTGCTATCCAAGTACAATTCCTCAAGTTTTTCAAGACCGTAAAATGCACCATCTTCAAGCGATGAGATTCCGTTCCGTCGCAGTTTCAAAACTCGTAGTTTTTTGAGTTCCAAAAACATTAAGCTCTGAACTTTGCGAATTCTATTCTTGTTCAATTCACTGGAGGAGAGAAAGAATGAACAGTGACAGGAAAGGCATGCTTTCGGTTTTTTTAACGTATCCTGTCATGTGTGTTGAAAATGAAATGTGGCATTAGAAATTGGAGGAACGTTCAGTAACAATGGGAGGCAGCGGAGTATATTTAGTTGAACAAAACACTAATGCATTATAATTAGATGATTTCCTCATCACATTTATTAACCATGCACTAGCACTTTCACCTTTGTTCATGAACAACAGCAGTAAATTCACAATTTACATAGCATAGTTTTAAATAGAAGTAGAGTGAATTTTCTTTATTTTTTCTGTTGTAAGATGGTTGACTATTGTTCTTTGTAAATTTTTATCTATGCAAAGAATACAGCGAGAACTACTAACTCTACAACAACAAATATTGTGAATTACTTGTAGATTATAATAAACAATAAAAAACAAATAATAGTTTTTAAAAGATGCACGAGAATGCACAAAACCTTATATGAATGTGAAATGGCCACTTTAAATACTGCCAGCTTCCTGTCATTGTTAAATTTGACCATCTCAGTGGAGAAACCAAATACTAATCTCAACCAACACCTGGGCTCTGTAGTCTGCATTTGTGAAACAACTTTATTGTGTTGTTTTTGTATTTTGTTTATTTTGACTAAAGGACATTCTAACTCTATATCCAAGACTGCGTTCCTGTGCGGACATGTTTGTTATTCTTTTCACGCTATAAACTTGGCCGAGTGATAGAATTTATTTATTGCAGAATCTTACAAAGCACTTGGATGATGGTTAAGAGAAAGGCAATAATTTTCTAGCTTTCATAACCTTTAAATCATTTCAGTTCAACAAAATTTTAAGTGGGAGGGAAAAAAAAGGTGGGGGGAGCAGAGAAATGTTCGAAATTTTGTCAATCAACCTGATAACTAGATGATATATCAATTTATTTGATATTAAAACAAAAAAAAATACAAAAACGTTTTCTTTTAAATAAAAAACTATGGAAATCAGAAATATGTTGAACCTAAAATTGTTGAAAACCAACACTAAACATAAAGTCCTGTTTAGACTATCAAATTTCATTTGAAAAAAAACAAACAAGTGGCATACTTAAATATGGTCATGATGACATCACATCATGACCCCTATTTGGGCACATTGGACTATATATGGGCATACAACAGTTTTTTGTCATAAGAAAATTTGATAGTCTGGACTGAACTTTCAAACTGAAGTGTGAAACACTCCAGGAAATAACATTTTACATTAATCAGAAAGAAATCTGCTATTGATGCAAATTAATTTCTAGAAGTGGCTCTTAAATTTTGTTGGTATATAAAAATCAATCAGGAATACACATTCTCAGTACTTGTATTTCAAATACCTTAACTATCACATTAATTTTAATGACCAATTAGAAACAAGGAAATCGCTAAAACTGCGCTTGCACCATCTTTGTTTGCCGAACCAATCAATTTTGGATTTGATGACCTAGCTTTTTGCACCATTACTTCAGTACTTAACTTCAGCCGCGAAAAATACCGAAATCTTTAATTTATCAATCATTCCTTTAGGTCACGATTTTCTAGCAATACCCTTCACACGCTATAAGACACGCACCTCATCAAATTCAGGTGAGGGAGACAAGAGAATCTGGAATGATTTGAAAGAGACCGGGAATAAGCAGAAATGATATACCATTTCCTACTTGTCATCATCAACAATCAAGATAAATGATTGATTCAAATTCTTTATATCCTAGACAATTTTGAATACAATGACCTGCAGATTAGTTATAATATATAGGAAATCTGGAACTTTACTTCAGAAATTATGATTACAATGAAGTGTAGAGGATAATAGATAAAAATTTGGAAATCTGGAACTTTTTTGTATTCTATACTAGCATTTCCTTAGCACTTTCCCTTTTAGAAATTCTACCAAACAATAAGGAGTTTAGGCTGTCTCTTATACACATCTAGATGTGTATAAGAGACAGGAATACAGCGAGAACTACTAACTCTACAACAACAAATATTGTGAATTACTTGTAGATTATAATAAACAATAAAAAACAAATAATAGTTTTTAAAAGATGCACGAGAAAAAAAAAAAAAAAAAAACCTCCCTCCCTACCATGAAAATTGATAACATAAGGATGCTAACCAATTGTTTTATTTTACATGGCCTTATCTCATAGTTTTTTTATGAATAATAATTATAATAATAATTAATTGTCAACTATATAGAGCATAATGTAAAATGTACTTCTATGCACTTTAAATCAGGGAGTGGAATAAATTATTTAAAGTTTCACAAATAAATGAATATCGACTATATAATATTAACTTGATTTATTTTAAGTTTAAATAATTTTTAAAATACAGTAATTTTATTTTAAATTTTTGATCTACTTAATTGTTAAAATATTTATTTCATTGTCTTTATTACTTTACCTGTCTTTTGCTTTTATTTTCATTAATTACTATGTGAATAATAATATAATTCATATTATTAATTGGATTAAATTTATAATTAATGCCATGATTTTTAGTAAACAGTACAAGTCAATGATTTGGTTATTATTAAAAATGGATAATTAAAGCTAAGTTCTACCAAGTTCAGAAATTATGTGACAAATAGCTATATGTTCCAGTTAGCATGTGATGACCTTTCTTTGACACTATAGAGAAGCTGTCCCCTAGGCCTAGCAACCGACAATCAAAGCAGGAACAATGAACCTGGGGCACTACAAGCTCCATACATTTACAGGCAGAACATGATATTCATTGGTATACCATGTTATATAAAGAAAGGCCCAGATATCCAGCATCTGTTGATTGATCACCTGACAAAAGTATTGATCACCTGACAAGCTAAATTGATCACCTGACAAACTTATTGATCACATGACCTCCTTAGGGGACCCCCACATAAACAAATTGCTTTTCATTATAAATTAATACAAAATATAATTGTTCTCTATCAAACGAATATAAATATATAATATTATATTCTAATTAGAGACTCTAACAATGTGACCAATTACAATTATATTTTGAAAAGAAAATCTATACAAACTAAAGATGAATAATGATCACATTTGAGTGTAAAGGCAAACATAATCTCCACTAATTTGTGCTTTATAAACCTAAAAAATCACTTCAATTAACGACAACAAATAATGTTTGTATTTAAAACATTTTCCAACGTTAAAAACCTAACTAATTGTCATTATTAAAATTGTGAATGGCCAGTTGATTTATGCCATTCCAATGTGCCAAACATTTTTTAATAACAATCAATTGAATACAAAATTTTCTGCATTTACTTTAATTATATAACATAGCTTCGTGGATTACCATTTATAGTAGTATACTTAAGCTTTAAAATGGCATTTGCTATAGACAAGTTTTAGTATTAAAGTATCACAATTCTATTTTAAATTATATTAATTCTTTCAAAAGATAAAAATGGAATGTATTTTTATCATGCAGCAGTGTTCTCCCAACTGAAAAATTTTTACTGGTAAATTTGTCCATAAAAAATTGCAATGCGCACAATGTGAGGTACGTTACCCCTTTTTAGTTGGGTTAAATGACTTGAAGACACAACAGCACATATTCATAGTGTAGATATAGACTGGAATGATGTTAATTTATTCAGAGGGCCAGCCTGGACTACCTAAGCCTAATCAATAGTTTTTTTTATTTTACAAACTCAAAATTTTTACTGGTTGGTTGGTTATTTTTACCGGAAATTGACGGCTAAGACGGCTTCGGGAGAACACTGTGCAGGCAACTTTGTTTCAGTGGTTTTCCATCATTTAAAATCCATAACATATTTTTAAAAAAATGTCCAGTTCCTCTAAATGTTACTCACTACTTATTATTAGTTAATGAGTAATACACAATATTCACTAATGTATTATAAGGTAATTTGTTGGATTCAGGTATTAGGGCAATTGATCCTAAAACCTTAACATTCAAATATTACTTGAACCACGAAGTGATAATGCCACTCTAAACACAAAATTTTATTACCATATAATTTTTAAATTTAGGGTGGCCCAATCATTGGTAAATTCAGGGGCCCAGCACACAAAAAGGTAAAATATCATTAAATCAAAGGGCAAATATTTTTAAAAAAAATTAAAAATTATGGCATTAATATACTATAAACTTCAAAAGATCGTCCTAATGCCTCCTCCAGACACCATATTAGAATAGCCAACCTGCCTACTGTCTTATGATAATATTTTGTTCTGAGGCGTAAAAAAAACAGTACAACCCATGCAAGCTAGCACAGGATTCGGACCAAAAATCTTATACTTATTTTTATTAGTTCCACAACCACTATTCCAATTATACTTACAGAACTGTGAGGTTGACCATTGGTGCAAACACATTTTTTGAGAGCTTTTTCAGTGAGTTCTTGTTTAGTTTTAACGTCTTCAGTCTTGTCAGATTTGTCATCGCATTATCATCAATGCTTGAGATTTCATTGCTATTCAGATACCTGCATGTAGTAAATCAATCAACCAATCATTAAATAATGATCTAAAATTTAGTATATAGTTTGTTATCATATTTTAGTTGTCAAATGATTAACATAGCCTGCTCAGATCTCGGCTTGTCTTTATTTATACCCTTTGCAGATCCAATCACTTGCATACCTTTCATACAAATCAATTAATCAGCTAATTAATTAGTATTAATTAGAAAAAAAAAGAAAAGGTAAGTAAGCATGACCTGTTAATCACAGCCTATCTAATTTATACCCTATAAAAATCAGATCCAATTATTTGCAAACTGATATCAAATTAACTAATCAACCAACCAATCATCTAATAAAGCAATTAATCGACTAATCAATCAATCAGTCAATCGATCAGTAATGAATTATAATGTATAAACTTTATACAAATTTTTAAAAGAAAAAAAATTATGAAGATTGCAAACAAATTACTGTTAGGAAAATTTCATGATAATAATAGTGAGATAAAATATAGATTTTACTAACATTTTAAAGACAATGTATTCTCCAAATTGTTATGAAATCCTCTAAAATAATAACATGAAATGATGGTGGTATCATCTGTATCTGTAGTAGTATATACCACAGATGTGCTAACTATCAATATTATATTACAAATTTGGGCAAGTCGAGTGGCCAAGCGGTAGGGCAGGGGCGCTGCTAGCTACAGCTTTAATATTGGAGCTGGTTCCAGTCACTCCTCATGGTTCGGTTGGTAGAACCAAGTCTTCTCGGATAAGGACTTAAAATGGAGGTCCAGTGAATACATCTGGCTCGTGCAAAGAACCCATTGCATCTTTTGGAAGAGTAGGGGGTTACCCCGATGTTATGGTTCAT